CCATGTGCCGTGTCTGTATGGCCTTGTCTATGATTACTGTGGTATTTGCTCAGTCCTCTGTGGTACCCATATTATCTTCTCTTTATCTACTAATCTATAACTAGAACCCATCTTGTGTTCCTCTCCCTGGCTTGTTTAGCCTAAAGGTTAAATTTAGTTTAGTGCCTTTTTACAGCTACCCTGTGACTTGAGTGCACATATCAACATTCACGTGCTTGTTTGTATTTGCAATATATGTAGCCATTTCATATATGTTTATATAGAAACATAGAATGGTTTGGGTTGGAAGAGACCTCAAAGATCATCACATTCCAACCTCCCTGCCATAGGCAGGGACACCTTCCCCTAGACCAGGTTGCTCAGAGCCCCATCCAAGCTGCCTCAAATGCTTCCAGGGAAGGGGGCATTGTCTGGGCAACCTGCTCCAGTGCCTCAGCACAGTAAGGAAGTTTTTCCTAATAGTTAATCTAAACCTACTTCCTTTCAGTTTGAAGCCATTCCCTGTGTCCTGTCACTACATGCTCTTGTACACAGTTTCTCTTCGTAATAGGGAACATCACATTTATAGATCAGATATTCAAAGGAAATGTTTAATAGCAGCCAGTCCTCATCTCAGCCAATGTTTTTGCCCTTTCTGTAGTTTGTCACCATGCTTTTGTGTCCCACAGTTTGTACAGGTCACTTTGGGAAGACAGACCTGTTTAAACAGTTTTAAGTCGGTGGCCTCCACTGGCCTTGCTGCTCTGTGCTTTGGAGTAAATACCAGGTTGGTTCTGCTGGTGGATGGGAGTGGCTTGGAGCAGCTGGCAGTCTGAGCTGAAGAGCTGTGGGGGCCCAGGAGCTCCTCTCAGGTGGAGCTGGCTCTGCCAGACACCCTTGGGCTGACCCAGCAGCTCCTTCAGCCCTGGGCTGCTCAGGATCTAAGAGATTGGAAAAGATCCCTGAGATCACTGAGTCCAAGTTATTGTTGCACTGTCCACTCTGCAACTCTCCTGCACTACCAAGTGCAGTTTATTTCTACTGTTCCTGTTACTGTAAAGGCTTGGTCCTGCCTGGGCTTAAGCCAGCGGTGACCTGCTGTTTCTCTGGGCTGTCCAGGTGTGCTATCCGGAAGCCCAGCACATCCAGGCAGTGCTGGGAACACGGGCTGCAGGGGGAGCAGGGATGGGAGCGGGAAGGGGCTGTGTCCCAGCCACCTGCCCGGGGCAGTCTGGTGTCAGTGAGCCACTCGTGACGCTGTGGCCAGCAATGCACAGGAGTTAAAAATAGCGGTTCCTGCTGTCATCCAGCTCCTGATGTTATCCAGCCATGGGATAATCTGCCAAGGTCCTTCTCCAGCCTTCACAGGGTGGTTTTGCTGGTGCCGAATCCCTGCAGAGCCCAGTGGAATGTTGCTGTTGGGATTCAAACTTGTTTAGATTCAAAACATTCACAACAGTTCTTAAAGCTGGGAGGAGCTTTGCTCGTGGGAGGGTCTTGCGTTATTAATCCTCCTTTATTCTCCTGTCTGAATTCAAGTTCTGTCCCTCAAAAGCCACATTTTAAACACTGGGGCAGAATGGTCCCAGTTAGAGCCATTCCCCAGTCAGCTCTTGGTTTCACAAATGTGTATTGGGGTCATTTTTTCAGCTGTCTCACACCTGGAAGCATATCCACTGCTTCTTCTTACTGAGAACGTACAAAATTATTTGCTGCTTGCAAAGATGATCCCCTATAAAAGGAAGTTATATGTGAAATACTAAATGCAAAATCTGGAGGCTTCAGGCATGTGGTAATTGCCTTTTAAACTCAGATGCCTCACTGTAAAGGGTCTTATCGCTGCCTTTCAGCTACTTATTTCTTGGAAGGATCATGTTCTTCTTGGTAAGGAATGATTTAGTTTTGCTCCCTTTCAAGTCAGGAGCAGGCTCTTAATTACACCAGACTTACAGCCTAAAGTATTTCTTAGAAACCAGAGGAATGTATTTGGCTGAGTCTTTGCAGATTTCAACTTTTTTTAGGAGTTTCTCACTTCAAGGAAATGACCAATGATCCATCTGTTGCTTTCTTTTGATGTTCATGGGTTTTTGGAGGAGGGTGGTCTGGTTGAATTGTGATTTTTGTGACAATTAATTATAGCTTATTTCTCACTTTTACTTTAATTGAAAGTAGGTCTTGTTTGGATGCTAACTCAGGGGCATTAAACCAGGACAAATTCCAAAAATAACTTCTGAAAAGAGGACTTAGGTCTCCAGGAATATACAGTGTTAGGCCTGATTTGACATCTAGTGTTGCTGATACATTATATTATGTTGGCAGGTAGAAATGCTTCCTGATTGTTACAGTGACAGTTAGAAAGGATTGTTTTATGAAAACAGGCCTTTCAGTTATTTTTTTTTAATCTCATCAACACAGAAAAGAAGATAAACACATCTTTTGCCTCAATAACAGGTTGTTCCTTAATTAAAAAAAAAAAAAAATTGCAACAGCCTTCAAAAGGACATAACCACTTCTCATCTGTGTTTCTTTCCTTAGTAGGGGAAGCAGGTGTGCAGGCAAATATCTGCACATACAGATGTGTATGCCACCAGAGAACTCTCCCTCTTTTCAGATGACACAGTTCACAGCCTGAAAAAAAGAATTACAGTGTTCAGACAATGTTGTGGATAAAGCACATGAATTATGGCTCTTGATGTGCAGAGAGCCTGTGTCCCTGTGTCCTTGAAATAAAGCTTAAGGCTTTGAGGAACAAAGAGCTCCAGAGCGGGAGGAGAACACTAATTACTGTTCTGCCTCTAAACAAATACTGTCAGAGATGACTGGCCTCAGTCTTGCCTGGGCTGTTAAAAATCCTTCCAGCTATTGCTCAGAAATCTGATTGAAGGAAAAACTGTCTTCCTCTTCTGTGCGTCCCTGTGGGACACGGATGCCAGCGTGCTTCAAGCAGAGCCTGGTGTTGGCACTTATGTTTGTGACAGCAGAGGTTCGGATGCCTCCAGATCCCATTCCTTTGTGGAGGCCCAGTGGGATGGTGTCCTGCTGAGCCCTGCCCATGGACACCATCTGTCCCCAGAGCTGCTGGAGTGCCATTCCCAGGAGCAGTGTGGCACCACCATGGGTTATGGCTGTGGCACCACCACAGGCAATGGTGGACAAGGTGGGAGAACTGTTCTAGAGCACACACAACAAGGGCTGTAGTGGGACACTGTGCCTTTGGTTCTCGTGGATAACCTCCACTCACAGACAGGGACAGGCAGGAGGGACTGGGCAGCCTGGGATGGCCGTGGTTCAACTTGAATTTCCAGCCCTGCTTGTAGGACACAATGTGATAACCCCACTCCCTCAAACCCAGGCTGGGACAGTGAAACAGCAGCCACGGGTGATGGCTGCCCCGCTCCTTGCGGAAGGGGCTCCCTTTGTGTCCCCTTAGGCTCGGAGGGCCGCGCTCCCCACGGTTCCCCTTCCCGGGGGCAGTGCCAGGGATCCATCCCAGGGATCCATCCCAGGGATCGGGCTCAGCCCCGCGGTCGCAAGATGGCGGCGGAGGGGCGGCCGCGAAATGGCGGCGGCGGCGCCTGAGGGCGCGCGGGTGCTGCCCCCTGCCCGCCTCCCGGCCCACAGCCGCGGATCCCGGGATTTGTCCCGGCCGGGAGCGGGACGGGCCGCGCCTGTCTCCGGGCATCCCCGGATGGTAACCCCTGCGGAGTCGGATGGAAATGTACATGTGTGTGCATATGCTTTCTTTGGTTTTGGTTTTTTTTTTTTTTTTTTTTTTTTTTTTGTTTTTTTTTTGTTTTTTTTTTTAATTATTTCTCCCTTGAATTGTGAAATCTGAGCAAAGCCTTTCATGTACTTTGTCACTTTCGTACAAAAGTGGAAAAAAATAAAAAAAATCTGTTTAATCCCGCTGCAAAGTTTTCCTGACTCTTCTTTCATAGTGTTGTACCTAGGTGGATCCTTAAATGTCACAAACACATCTGGCTGCCAGTGGAAAGCTGACTGGGAAAGGGCTGGTCCTTGTTCCAAAAGTTTGTGGCATCGTCACTGTGTTTTTGTTTGTGGCAGTGGGGTTTGAATGCTGCCTTGCCAGTGCACGTGTGTTAAGGTGTACTGAGATTTCAGTTTGCTTTTTTGGCTCTTAAAAAATAAAAAATATATATGTTGGGAGTGATTGAGCAAAGGTATTTGAATGTTTTTGGCCACCTAAAATAGTTTGGCCTCTCATTGTTTTGTTGAGGAGCCTTTATTTAAGGGGATACTCTGGGTGTTAACACATTTTTATATAAAGATACTAAAAAAAAAGGGGGGGGGAACTAGAGCTTAGTTAGCAGAACTGAGTGTTCTGCTCTCGCATTATTGGCTTGAGAAATGCAGTCTGCACAGCACTGGTGTAATCCTTTAACGAGGAGCTGCCTCAACCACAAGCCCATAGAAGCTTCTTCCTTCTGCCCTGTTGCTGAATTAATTCCTTTTGCAGAAACATTCTATTTAACATAATTCATGGTGTTGTGGGTATAGTGTTTTTGATACTGGCCTCTTTCAGAAAGTGGATATCAGATTTATTTTGAACCACTGGCTACACTAGGATGTAGCGGAGAGTCGTGCTGGATCAACTGCTCATCTTTAATGTAAGAGGATGGTCTCTGGATGCTGCAGACCCCACTGTGCCTGACTCTGCCTCGCTCCAAGACACCCAGATCCTGCCAGGAGAACCTGTGCTGCTGGTGCTGCTAATGCTTCTCCTCACCTACCGCTGCTTTTGTTCCGGTGACGAGCAGGAGATCCCGGGCAGGGATTTTTGGGGCTGCACTCTCGCCCGTGTTCACTGCCAGTCCTGGGAAGGAATTGCCTCTGCTGCAGAATGCCACTGTGGGGTGTACACCTGGGCCTGCGGGTCCACACTTGTATTCAGGTTTTTCCAAACCTGTCCTTGTGGCTCGGATGTGTCTCAGGTTTGCTCCCTTCGTATTTCACAGCTGTCAGTGCAGTTAAAATGTAACCTCTTCTTTCTCTACCATTAGTCACTCGGCATCCGAAGAAGCCTCTGGCTCTGACTCTGCAAGCCAGTCTGAAAGTGAGCAGGGCAGCGAGTCAAACAGCAGCTCCGAGTCCTCTGAGAGTCAGTCTGAATCCGAAAGTGAATCAACGGGTTCCAAATCCCAGCAGACCCCTCCTGAAACCAAAGAAAAACCCGCCTCTAAGAAGGAAAGGATAGCAGATGTTAAAAAGGTATTACCCCTGCTGCTCTGCACGGACACGTTACTCCTGTACCCACCACGGACGGTCAGACAGCAGGACCTCAGTGAAGCTGTGCCCAACTTCCTGGCCACTTGGCACATGGACCAAACAGCCTCTGACCTCCAGTGTCCCCAGGGGCTGTTTGGTCTGTGTGCTGGAGCCCTGCTGCTGTCACCCTTGAGAGCAGGAGCTGCTGTGTTTGTGGAGCAACCTCTGGGGCACCAAGTAAATGGTGACAGGGCTGACTGGTGCGAATGAGGGGCAGGTGCCTGTCATCAGTACATGATCCTGTCATTTCATCCTCTCTCTCTGTCTTTCCACTCCTCTATCCTGTCTCTCCTCAGAAGCGGTAAAGCCTCCCCATGTGATAAATACTCAGAAAGAAGGTTTGAAGTTTGTCTAGGGTTTGAAGTTGGAACCACTTTTGGTTATTTTACGTCACTATTCCTCTCAAAAAAAGCATAGGAAAAACAAAAAAAACCCAAAACAAAACAAAAAAAAAAAAAAAAAAAAAAAACAAAAAAAAATCCAAAAACAAAAAAAATCCCCAAAAACCAAACCAAAACAAAAAAATAAGAACTTTCATTATTTATTAAGTCCAGAACAGGACAGTGCTTCTTTGTTCTGTTTTTTTTTTTTCCCCCTGCACCTTCCCAGCTCCTCCCTAGTCAGGTTTTCTCTTCACTTGCTGTCCAGCAGGAAAGGGGATTGTGGGTGTTACTGCTCATGGTATCGCTCTGCACACCCCAGGGCAGAAGCTGCGCATCAGGTACCTGCTTTACCTGAGGGATGGAGGTACCTGACTAACACAGGGCAGTGTGAGGTGAGAAAGAGGAGCCCAAATACCATTTGGAGACAGGAGCTCAGTGAACTGAGTTCGCTTGGAAGGAGAAAATTGTGGTTAGGCTAGCTTGTTTGTTTGTGGTGTGTAACCGTCCTGTTGTTCTTAGGCGTGGGTTGCACTGGGCACAGCTTCTCCTGAGAGTGAATTTTATGGAGAAAAGTGCTATGTGTGTAAAGGATAAGGAGGAAGGAGAGTGCTTCCAGCCTGTGCTCCCCACGGACCTGCCAGGAACAAGTAAAGGATTTTCTTACCACCTTCTCCCTCCCACAAAGCTCCAGGCTGCTGGCTAAATCCTACAGTGTTTGGACTGGCAAGGGAGGATGAGTTTGTAAGGCAGTTGTGGTAACACCACATTAAAATCTGGTTTATTGTTGATAAATGGGCATCAAAGGAAGTCTTCTCTCCCTCTGAAGAATTCTAAGAGCATGTCCCTAACAATAAACGTTAACATTATCCTGTAAGGAAGTGCATCCATACACAGGGTGATAATTAGCATGGGTGAAACATGAAAAGGTCAGGACACCCTCTAATAAGAAAGCCTCTCCCTTCCTTAATTTCTCTGTTAATGGGTGTCTTCCTTAGCTAGGTCCAACCTAGGCATGTTGATACATCTTCCCCTTGAATAACCAATGCAATTAATTATTACTGTTTATTTGGTGTTTGTCTAGATACACCCATGAAGGCGAGGTTAATCTGTGTTAGGTGCTATTAAGATTTGTCATGGAAGTGGCTCCCACATTCAAAACCCATGCCATTTAATAGATGAAAAGATAAGTTCTTCGGATGGTTTGGGGAGGGAGCATTAAGTTTGAGGGTTTATTCTTTCATGAGAATGTACCTCAGTCCTTGCATGCCCAATAGATACACAATGTCACAGTCTGTCCCTTATGCCATTACTCCTTTAACAGAGGCAGAAGAATTGCTGGGCTGCAGCCTCGTATCCATCACGCTCTCAATCCCATCACTGCTGCATCTGGCAGCATAGTTTGATTTCCTTTTCCTGCCAGTGGCTTGCAGAGATATTTGAGAATTGGAGGAAGAGAGAATCAGAAGGAATTGAATAGATGTAGAGAACTGCTGAGGGAGAGAGGAATTGCTGGTGTAGGAATTTGAGGGGCATGGTGGTGGTTTGTGTCTGCCCTGTAACTCTTGTGTTCTATGTCACCAACACAGCTCTGCATTCATCCCCATCAGGACATCCATTTTTGTGTCCCCTTCACCTGCCCATCCACAAGAACAATTGCATGCTCTTTTGCACAGAGTATTCAACTGGTGAGGGCCTCCTTTTTCAGCAAAGAGCACAACCATTGCCAGCAGTCACCTCTGCACATCCATGTGTCCTGCACTGCCAAACCACATTCCCATCAGTGCATTCAGGAGAGGAACCAGTAGCCACTGCCTTGCCTTGCCAAATGACAGGGTATCTTGCTCCATTTGCCATCCAGACTGGGCCACAGAATTCACCTTTGAAGCTGCAGCTGGCCATGTCTCCAGGCAGCTAGTGGGGCTTTCCACCAGGAAAGGAATTGTACTGGAAGCTGTTAGTGACAGAGAATTGCCCTGTTGAGTTGTTAGGTCTGTTCATTCCACGTCCAAGGTGTTGCCTCCATTCCTTTGGCACCAATGCTGCAGAGGGCTGGTTACCCCAACACTCTGTCCTTCAGCCTGAGAGAACTGGAGAGTGATTTGTGCCTCGGTGGAAAGATGGACCACTGTAAAGATAACACTGAGATAAACACATGCTGCTTTAGAAAGGTGTCATATATCTCAAAATAATAATAATAATCTTTCCAGCCAGTTTTTTAAGCTGTCCATCTACTGGTTGCTAATTCCCTAATGGATTTTGGATGATATTTTTAAGCCACCATCAAACTTCTCTAAAATGTCAAAAATAATTGGGGTGAAGCAGGCCTTCTGATGGTCTGTTTATTTTGCAGATGTGGGAAGAATATCCTGATGTTTATGGGGTTAGGAGGTCAAACCGAAGCAGACAAGAACCGTCACGATTTAATATAAAAGATGAGGTAAGGAAAAAAAAAAGGATGAGGGATTACTGAACATATAAAACCAACCAAACCCAAAGAGGAAAGGGAGGTCTCAGCTGCATTGCCTGTAAGCACTGAGTCCCAGTTTGGTGCATGGATGTTGGATCTCACAGTTGAGGTCCCAGTCCTGCAGCTGGATCCTTGGCCTGAGACCTCTGGAGTGAGCAGGACACTGCCTGGGCTGAGATCTGCATGCACTGATCTGATTGCTGGAATGGGGCGTAATGCAAGTCCTGCTCTGCTGTAGGAACATCCTGGAGAGGAGTCTGTGTAAATAAAAAACAGAACGAGACCAAAATGCAACACAAATCCAACCAGGAATAAAGGAAAGTTCCCAGAAACACCTCATAGCAACAGAACAGTCATTATTGCCCATCTTGAAATGGATCCCACTAATAAATGCATTTGTGTGTGTGCAGCTTTATGACGCATCACTTTTCTTTGGTTGAACATTGGGGAGTCTTTTATGCTTCAGTTGAAGGTGACAGTGGTCAGAGCCTGGCAGCCAAACCTTCTAATTGTTCCTGCTTCAGAACACTCTTGGGTTTTTTTTCTGAAGATGTAGAAATCAGGTTCCGCCTTCATTTGCATCGAGAGGTTTTCTGCATGGAGCAATTAATCTGCAGGTCTCCAGGAAGGTCGAGTAGCTATAGCAGAGGGGAAAGAGGACCTGAGACAGGCATCTGTGGAGAGCTTGGGGCTTGGGGCTGGGAACCTGAAGATAAGCAGCAGACTTTGGAGCCCAGTGGTGCTCTCTGACTCAGGCTGTTTGTGCTTCGCCACCGAGATGTGTGTTCAGATGCTCACGGGGTGGCACGCAGGTCTCCAGCTCCTCGCTCTGGTGCGTTATTGCTGAGCCTTGGTGGCACCCCAGTGCCACCAGCTGCCCCCAGACTCCTGTGCTGGCTGTCCCGCAGAGCAGAGGTCAGGAAGGGGCTCGGGGTGCACCATTGACACAGCTTTTGTTTTCCTTTTCAAGTTGGCAGAGGCTGGGCTGGCCGGCCGCCCCTCTGTGCGATGCCCTGGCATGCACTGTGCCGGCGACCTCACACCCACCCCAGAGCTCCGCTGCACACCCCCCTGCCCTCTTAGGGGCCCAGGTAAGTCCCTTCTTTTTTTGTTTTACAATATTACGTGGTTTTGCAAATGTTGTTTTCTTTTTCAATATCTTTATTTCCTACTACTTAAGGTAAAATTAAAAAAAAAAAAAATCTGAGATGCAAAAAAAGTGCTATACCACAAAATATTGTAAAAAACAAAAAAAAACCCAAAACCACCCCAAAGGTCCTCCAAATGACCCTCACTGCAACTTCTGTGAAACAGCTGAAATAAAAAAAATTGGAGCATGCCTTCTCCCCTCTCTCCCCAAAGCAACACTGACTGGTCCCCACAGGGAAGCTCCCATCTGCAGCAGAGTGTTGGATGGTGTGACCTGTCGGGAGCACAGTGCTGGGGCCTCGCAGAGAGCGGGAGGAAGACACCAAGAAAGAGGAGATAGCATAGCTCAAGCCTGTGTGGTGCTGAGCACTCCTTGCTGCTGCTGGAGGGGGCAGAAACCCAAGGCACATCTGAAGATGCTTTTTGCCTTCACAGGGTTAATCTTGTCTCCAGTGACCTGCACCTCTCACTTGCTGCTTGGGACTTCCAGCACAGTGTCTTGGGGCTTGTAATTGCCTAATGCTTCTCTGCAGATTAGCAAAGAGCATCGTGCAGGCAGTGTGGCAGGCTCAGAGACCAGAGCAAGGATGGATGAGCCATCCCAGCTCCCTGCGCTGCCCCGTGACTCACCTGAGCGGGGGAGAAGGCTCAGAGGTGAAGGTGATTCAGGTTTTGGGGCTCTGCTCAATCACTGTGTCCTCTGAGAGCAGCACTCTGGGTAGGGTTATTTGTGTGTTAGACGTGGTTATCTTCCGAGGATTTCTGGGCTCGTTGTGTAGGTGTCTGAGGGGCAATCAGGGAGGGTGATAACTCGTGATCAATATCCAGGCATGAGCTGAGCCACTGGGGAAGCGAAAGTGCAGCTTTGCATAGGAGAACAGATCTGCTCAGAGGCCCAGAGCTGTCTCCAGGAACAAGAGAATGTGTGAGTTTTTTAGTAAAAACACTACTTCCCCAGGCATTTTCTTTGCAGTTAATAAATCAGCTTCAGGTTTCAGCCAGGGGATGTGAGACGTGCAGAACCAGGTGCTTTTCAGAGTATTTAAATTGAAATGGGGGAGATTAGGTTAGCTATATAAGGGAAATTCTTCCCTGTGGGGCTGATGAGACACTGGCACAGGGTGCCCAGAGAAGCTGTGGCTGCCCCATCCCCAGGATTGGATGGGGCACTAAGCAACCTGATCTAGTGGAAAGTGTCCCCTGCTCATGGCTGGCTGTTGGAACTGAATGATCTTCAAGGTCCCTTCCAACCCAAACCATTTTATCATTCTGTGATTCTGGGGCAGTTGAGAAATAAATGTGCCCCAACCAGACACAGTCTTTTTACTATAAAAAGAATAGTTTCAGATTGAAATTGGTGGCAAATGTCAGTGTATTTTTTTTCTGTCAGAGAGAGGCCACAAGTCACGCCACCAGTGTGTTCTAAAAATACAGCTGGTTTTCTTATTGGAAAAAAAAATCTGCTCATTTGCATTTTGGTCAATGCTTTGCCTCATGTATTTGCTGAAAATTCAAACACTACTGGTCTCACTGGAAAAGAGAAGTTCAGAGACATAAAACTAACCTGGTTAGCTGAGATTCTCCAGCCTTTCTGGAGCACTAGAGTTTGGCCTCTGTTGAGCCTGAAATGAGCAAATCCTCACTTTGACTTTAGTCTGAAATGCTTTTGTCTCTGTTTGAGCAAGTCATTATCTTTCCTAGTGAGAGCTCCAGAGGCTCACCTGGACCTCCTCTCCAATGGCCTGGAATCTCAATTTCTCCCAGGCTGGGCTAGTGGCAAGGACACTCATGGATAATCTATAGGAGCAGAACTTTGAATTGCTCTACATTGGTGCTACACATGCAGCATCATTATGTTTGTTCAGTGGTTGCTCCATGCAAAATACAGTGCAATTAATCTGGCAAAAGTGTGTGCACTTTATGTGCTGGGAGAGGGAAAGAATTGATGGAAGGAGTCAGTGAGGCATGGAGAGGGAAGGCTGATCCTTTCAGCTGGAGATGAGGAAATTTTAAGAGGCCAGATCCTAGTCCAGCTCGAAGCAGTGGTGCAGGAGTGAATTTGGCACATTTTGATAAGGGGGAGCCAGGCCTGTCTTTCCCCTTGGCCACAGCAGCAGCACCCCAGCAGGGCAGCACTGGCACTTGGGCTCTGGAGCGAGCAGTGTGACCCCAGCATCTCGTGCTGGGCTGACAAAAATCCCACTGGGACTGGGGATGGACTTTGCCAGTCTAGCTTGTGTCATTCGGGGAGGTGATGTTACAAAAATTCAAGTTGCATGTGATTTCCCAACCAGTGTGTTCTGGTGGTGGTGGTGGGCAGACAGGGCCCCAGGTGCACACTCTGCACCTGGCATTCCCTGGCTCTCTGGCTGTCCTCTGTGCTTCCTTAAACAAGGAATTTACCACCAGGAGACATGAGGGAGCGGGGAGGAGAGGCTGAGGAGCTGCAGCACGGCACATCCCAGCACTCCATTCTGGGATGGGGAGGATGTGGGAGCACAGGGCAGGCAGGTGACTCAAGCTGGGGACTGGCTGTGTCAGAGGAGATAGGGCTGGGCTTGACACGCATCCAAAACAGACAATGCTGTCTTTGAAATATGCAAGAGAAGGTGGCTGAGCTGCAGTCACAAGTTAGTTTTTCAAGGTGGAAGAGGGGAGGAAAAGTCCAGTCATTTAGAGATAACCATCAGCTTTGTAGAGACAAGTGGCAGAGCAGGGGGAGTGTATAGGCATTGGGAAAATGGACACTAGAAACTTGGAAAATGGGATTTTGGCACAGAAATGGAGTTAATTTCAAAGAGCTAAAGGTTGTGTTTGGTTTTCTCCCAATGTGATCTCTGACGCAGAACAGAAGAGAAATCCACCTCTCTTTACCTGTGGCTTGCCGAAATACAACAAAAGTAAACGTGCATTGAGGGGCACCTGTTAAAGTCATGCCAAATCAGAATAGAAAAGTTTCAGAAAGTGGATAAGAGATTAAAAGAGACAAGGAAAACTGAGGACTTTTAAATTTTGTGTGTCAAAACTGAAACCTGTGGAATGGTTGGCTTGTGTTGCAAGGGTAGGTAGGGCTCTCCATGGTGTTTGCCAGGCACTTGCTCCATGGCTGGTAAATGAGACAGGGATTTCATGCAGGGCCGTGAAACAGGTGGATGAACACGTGTTTGTAGTAAGATATGGTGCAAAAGCTGTTATTGTGCCACATGCAAATCTAACACCAAATCCAGGAAAGCTCATGGTCAGACATGGCATCCAGTGTTTTAGTGGATACACTGATGCAAGTGAGACAGAAGTTTCTGTGGGTGGAAGGAAAACTGGAAAATGGGAATGAAGGATGTGTGTTACAGCTCTCACCATTCCACAAACTCCTTGTGCACACAGCTGTGTGAGATCTGTCCAGGAGGGCAGTGGGAATGCAAACTCTGCTACCCATAGTGATGGATAGACAGTGGTGGACAGACAGACAGAGCCAAAGCTGAACACTGTGTCAAAAAGCAGCTAGAAGTGGAAGATTTCCACTTCCACAGAAGTGTGTGGAGCAAGCAATTTTGGAGGCTACTTCTGTCATTTTAATACTTCCTTAGAAATCTCACATGGGTTTCTTCAATTTTGTCCCTGCCTATTTGCATTTTCTGGGGGAGGCTAAGGAGAAGTCATGTTATCTGTGTGGTGATCTGTTTTCATGGTTGACTAGTTTTTATGAAAATGGGGCTGTGTACAACCAGCATAAAGAGATTATTTTAGCTATCTTGCTCTGTGGGAATTTGTGACGCCCACTTTTAAAATAGTGCAGCAAGTAGTTAGAATAGCTCTAGATATATTTAGCCAAAGAGACTTCGCTGGTGGAGACTGGAGAACTAGGAGGAAGGAAAGCAGCAGGACACAGCTCTGACCCAGTAAGGTCCTTGATGACTTGCTGTGGGAGAAAAAACCCAATAGCAAGACAAGGATACTTTTGATAAGAATATTGCCTTTCTGTGACAGTATTTTTTTTTTCATTCCTTGTAGGAAGTTTGAGCAATGAAGGCAGAGATCATAATGCAATGGTTGGGATAAATTCACCCGTGGGTTTGCAATCCCTGGGGTGTTGCACACACTGCAGGTCTGCCTGGCCACTGCTGCCATGGTGCCTGTTGGGCACTGGGGGTTGGTGCTGGCAGGGGGTGGATGGGTCCTGAGCCTCAGGGACTTCAAGATAGGTGATGCTGTAGAGCTCTCCAGGCTTCCTGCAGTGTTTTCTTCTTCACACTGAGAGCAGAGCAGCGGGACTGAGCAGCTGAGGTGGCTGTGCTGGGAGGAGGCTGCTCTGCACCAGTGTCCTTCAGGCTGCAGGGAAAGGACCCTGGCTCAGCCCACAAGCACGTGTGTCACTTGCATCCTCGAGGAGCCAGTCCACAGTGAAGCCTACAACTTGATTTTCTTTCTTTTCAATTAAAGGCAAGTAGCGAATCTGAAAATGAGAGCCCAAAAAGAAGACGCCAGAAGCAGTTGAAAAGAAAGTAAGTTTCTAAGGAAAGCGTTTTGAGTGGTGATGCTTTGGTTGATTTCTCAGAACAGTAGTGCATTGGATTGTTTGATGGGAGTTGTCAGCATGGTGAGCTTGTAAAATAAATATTTTAGTAATACTTCAGATTACTAAAATTGAAGTATGACTATGAATCTATAGATGGATGCAGTTTTCCAACCTTTGTTTGTATGTTCCTGCTGTGCCTGTGATGGAATCTAAATGAGTCAGGTTCACTTTCTGTTGTCAGCCTTTCACTTTTCTAGCAAATTACTGATTCTCCTTCAGAGGTACTTAAAACAGTTTAATCCCTTCTTCTCCGACCTTTTTGATTAGCTGAGAATAAGATACCAAATGATTATATTCTTTTATCTTTTATAACCCCCTGTTAAAACAAAACTTCCATAAAGAATGTTTTGGATGTCTAAGCGCCATAACTTGAGTTCACTTACAGTCATATTTTATTGCCTTTTCCCATCTAGTAAGTACCTTCTAGTTTTTCCATACACTAAAGTGGAGTAGGGAACTATGAGCTGCCTGATGGAGAAAATCTAAACAGAGGCACATCATCCTGCTTGCTTTCTCCTGCATCTTGTCTTTTAACTCTTCATTTAGTTGTACCCATCAGTGCAGGAGGGAAGGTGATACAGCACAGGGAGGACTGTGGTAGTATGGACCTCTCTTGGGCAAGGGCAGTGATCCTTGTGGACACTCCATGTCCTCTTGAGAGAGGAGGGGCTCCTCCAAAAGGCATTTTGGAGCTGCAGCTTTGTTCCTAGTTGTCCCCAGAGAACAGGCTTCCTTCCACTAATGTACAATGTGACTTGGCATCACACTTGGAAACTTGAATTGGCAGGAGAATTTCCATGGCAGGAGACTTGTTCCATTTTCTGGGCTCCAAGGAGCTCATGTAACTGCACACTGTGGCTCATGCTCTGTGACAGTGAGCACTTCTCTCCAGATCCTTGCAGCCCATCTCAAAAATGCAGAAGTAGAGAAAAGAAAAATTCATCAATCAAAGCCCTTACCCACCCAGGTTTGAGCAGTACAGCTCTGCCACCAGCACATGTGCTAAGAGCTGCTCTCACTCAAGGCAGCCCTGCCACTGTGTGAACAAAGCCCCAGGTGACTGAGACCCCCCTCCTAAAAGCAGAGGATCACAACACAACACCCCCCCTGCATTGCAATGTACAGCCAAGGATAGAATTTTGAACCTTTTTCCTGTAATTATGGACCTGATGGTTTGTTCAGCCAAGTATTTGTGTAGAAATATTGTTGCCCTTCATGACCTACATTTCTGACCACAGAATTAAGTGGAAAAGGGAGGTCTCTGCTGGAGAAGAGGATGAAGATGGAGGGGAGCAAGGCACCAGTGGAGAGAGCGAGCCTGAACCGAAGAAAATTAAAGCAAGAAGACCTGTCCAGAGGAGGTAAGGAATGGTTGGTTCAGTCTCTTTTTCTGCCTCTGCTGTGTGGAGAGGAAATCCCTGTTTGTCACTAATGAATTTTTTGTGCAATATTACCTTTGTTTGTGACCTAGTAAAGCTAGGGCCTAGTTATTCCCTCATCTCTCCATCTCATGCTCCAGTGAGCACTAGAGTGGTTTTCATGATAGTTAGAGCAGATTAAATCCCTTAGGAGTCTAATATTTGAGATTCGTGCTTCCTTAAAGACTTATTAAAGTGGATATTTACATAAACCATGCTGTATTATGGCTTTATTAACTCTTATTTTAGAACAGTGGCCAAAACTGGTGTTAAAAAGCCCCACAAAATCCAGCGTGGGAAGAGGAAGAAACCAGACTCATCTGAAGATGACGATGATGATGAAGACGATGAGACCCCCAAGAGACAAACTCGGCGAAGAGCAGCCAAAAATGTCAGGTGTGAAGAAGTGTGGGGTTGCTTGGGGGTGAGAGCTGGCTGGGGAAGGGGGGCACTGGGGGCCCTGACTCCTCTGTGGTCCTGCAGAGACCTGTGGCTCTTCTTGGCTCTTCTGACAGGTTCCTGCTAGGGCACATCTGGGGTTTATCTCATTTTGCCCTCTGTGAAGGAGGGAATGTTTACCAGTCCCTCCTAAGAGAAACTTGAGGATGGTTGCATAATATTTCTAAAGCACTCTCAGATGAAATGAATAATTGCAAATAGATGAAAATGAGCAAAAGGGAGCAGCTGTGCTGGACTGGACCAATTGTCTGAGGGTGGCTGATAGGTAGTGCCTTGGCACGGTGTGTTGAGCCAGCGTGGAGTAAAGCTTTATCCATTCCACAGTGTACTTCCTCACCTTTCAGGCAGTCCCAATAAGGGACTTGCAAAGAGCCATCCAAATGATATTTTGTGGTGGTTAAACGTGCACCAAAGATGAGAAGTGCAGTTCCTAGGGCAGTGTAGGCACCCATGCAGCTTTTCAGTGCTCTGCAACCTCCATAGAATAATCTTTCCCTCCATAGTGGAGACTTTCTCTGTTATGGGATTGTTCCACCTTATGAATCACCTGATGTTGGCCATGTTCAGAAAAACGTAGTGGAGACTTTCTCTGTTATGGCTTTGATTCTGCTGCAGGGATTGTTCCACCTTATGAATCACCTGATGTTGGCCATGTTCAGAAAAACTGTATGGGCAAGATAGAGGATTAGTGTGATAAAGTGTAGCTGAGTGTCTTGGGGAAAAATACTGAATGGATGACTTAAGACATGCGTGTGCTGAACGTGCACTGAACCACAGCATAAATTCTGGAGAAGCTGCTCCACTCTGAGCCATTCTCTGTGTTGGTGGGCTGGGAAGAGTCAAAGATTTTATATCCATTTGGTTTTGATCTTACTCAGCTACAAAGAAGATGATGATTTTGAGACGGATTCTGATGACCTGATAGAGATGACTGGGGAAGGAGCTGATGAACAACAAGACAACAGCGAAACTATTGAGAAAGTCTTGGACATCAGGCTTGGAAAAAAGGGAGGTGCGTGGCTCTGGAAGAAGCCTTTATTTCTCTTGAACTGGTGCAACACTTCTGCAGCTTTAAAGGGGGCTCAAGGGTTGTTTCAGTGCTTTTCATCTTTTCCTCTATGCCTCTTAGCTACACCTTGTAATGTGTAATAGCTTGTGTAACACATAATATTTAAAATCCTAAAATCTCTATAGTTTATGTGCTCGGCAGCTTTCATTTAGCCTGCACACATTTTAAAGATGCATCCATTGTTCTGCAATTCCTGCTTTTCTCTGCTTTGAAATATGAAACAGATCTAGGAGAGTCAGTTTTCACCGCCCCATTGACAAAGCCATAATGAAAATAAAGCCAATGTTTTCTTCTCAAAGCCTTACAAAAGTGTTTTTTTGTAAAACTGAATGGTTGTGAACACTTTCAAGTGGCCTTTGAATTATACCTAAAGAAAAGCTACTCACGACAGATTTAAAAAGATTCTGTTGCATGGAGAACTTTTGTGTGCCTGCCTTATAGGTTTGCAGAATCTTTTGGATGTTCTTTGTGCTCCCACAAAAGATGTATTAGAAGGGTGTGATGCAGCTGATGCCCAGGGTGGGTTAGGAGGGTACCAAATGCAGGCTGGCTTCTCTTGCAGCCATTGGAGCCTCCACCACAGTGTACGTGACCGAGGCCAACGGCAACCCCAGCGCCGACTTCGACCCCGAGAAGGACGAGGGCGAGGTCCAGTACCTGATCAAATGGAAGGGCTGGTCATACATCCACAGCACGTGGGAGAGCGAGGAGTCCTTGCAGCAGCAGAAAGTGAAGGGCCTGAAAAAGCTAGAAAACTTCAAGAAGAAAGAGGAGGAGATCAAGCAATGGTAGGCTTCACTTCAAGCAGTGATTTGGCCTTGGGCAGTTTGTTTTTAGCCAGAGGTTTGAGGAGTCGTGACTGAAAATGTTTGATTTCTTCGTACGAAGTGTGTTTCATGTGCACTCTGGCCTGCTGAGGAGCATCCCCCACACAGAAATTATATCTGTGGTGTGGATGGCTGGAAAATGGAGAGGACAAGGCCTGAAATCCACACTACTGCCACTTCCTAGGCTTAAGAATTGGGAAGGCTGATGACCAATAAATGGTGCACAGACTCACCTGGCCCAGGAGGGCTTGCAGCCTTATTAACCCCTTGTTAATTATGGGCTTCTCTGTGTGCAAGTTTTTGCATCACTTTATGTCCAGCTTCCCCAGGAACTATAAGGGGAGCTACAGTGTCTTTCCAAAGTGCTAAAGCTGGAGTAGCAGCTTCCATCTCAGTTTGGTTCCTGTTTTGAGACTGATTCTTGCATCAGAATAAGGCAGCATTTAACAGGAAGACAATGATCATCTGTGACATTTGCTTCTCGGCAATAATTTACAATTTTAGAAAATTTAAGAAACATATCATATAACAATAATTTGCCCCTGTGACTTGTCTGAATGACAAAACCATATAGGAAAGTACATTTTCTATGTGCAAATTTGTGGGCACTATGACAGAATCATTATAATCGTTTGTTTTGTTTTGTTTTGAATTATTTTGCATCTAGGCTGGGCAAGGTATCACCTGAAGATGTAGAATATTTCAACTGCCAACAAGAGCTGGCTTCAGAGCTAAACAAACAGTATCAAATAGTGGAGAGGGTAATAGGTAAGTGGAGCCAAGACTTTGGTGAAGGGGTGAAGTAGGAATGGGAACTTTATTCCACGTGACAGCAGAATGAGTGTGCAGCTCTCTCTTCTTCCCTGCTCTCCAGTACCCCTGAAGAAACCCCCATGATGTTTACTGTATTTCATTGTGGAATTTGGAATTTGGACAGTAGAAATCCAGGCTTACAGATTTGTATTTATGAGCAATACAAATCAGTGACTCTCCTTGCCTGGAGTAAGGGATGACACACTAGTTTCCAACAGGTTGCTGAAATTGTTGCTGCTGAATTTCTTAGTCTTCAACCCTTTGGATGCAAGATGTTTGTTTCCAAAGCAGCAGCATGGGCCTGGCTTTTGAGAGGTCCACTTCCCATGGTGTGGTTAAGGGTGTGGTTAGGCTGCAGGGCAGCTCAAGAGGGGAGATTTTCATGGTTAATTAATAAAAATAAAGCCAGCACTTACTGAGCACTTCGGTAATATCACAGTCATGTCAGTCAGAGATGCCAGCACCCAGTTGCTTTGGGAGTTGGCTTTGAGAGCTGTGTAACCCATTTTCAATACAATTCCTGTGAAAACGTGGGTGTGAGGCAGTGATGGCCTGCCCTGCTCCCTCTGCTGGCTGCCAGCATTCCAACCCTCCCTTCCCTTCTCTCTCCAAACACAGCTGTGAAGACCAGTAAGTCTGCCACAGGACATTCAGATTTCCCAGGTAAAGGCACATTTTTTTGGTCTCTCTGCACTTTTGCTATGAGCCAAGACCTGTTTTGTGGCTGTCTGGGCAGTTCAGCCTGTGAACCATGCTTGTGGTTCAGCTGCTCAGCTGCAGGTGCTGAGGTTTGGGCTTTTTTTGCATATTTTACAGCAAACAGTCGCAAAACATCCTCGAATGACCCCGAATACCTGTGCAAGTGGATGGGGCTGCCCTATGCTGAGTGCAGCTGGGAAGATGAGGCTCTGATCAGCAAGAAATTCCAGCACTGCATTGACAGCTTCAACAGCAGGAACAACTCCAAGACGATTCCCACCCGTGACTGCAAGGTTTGCTGGCTTCTCTTCTTTGCTGGCTTCCTCCAGGCTGGGGGAAGGTGCAAGCATTGGGAACATGAAGTTTTGTCAGGATAAATGTCAGAACACTTTCCCATCCTCCCACCTGCATTTGAAGGGTTGTTTGCTGTTCTTGTATTGCACTTCAAGCAGAGATGTGAAGCCCTTTGAGTTTCATTTACTCTGTGCACAGTGAGAACGTTATGTCCCCCTGGGGAGTGGGAGGCTTAATTAATCCTTGCAAAGTGCTTCCTCCTCAGAAGGAGCTGCAGCAGTTTTAATGTCAGTTGGATGAAAAAACAGCACACCTGGGAAAAGAGGAAGCCTGCAAGATGCTGATACAGTGAAGGAGAGGGACAGAAATAATGGGAGAAAAACCAAAAGAGGACAAAGAAGGAAGTGGAGCTTGTTCTGAGTCCTGTGTATTTTGTGCAGCTTACTACACTCCTGGGGGACTCAGAGCCCTGATCATAAACCAGAGAGCAGCAGGCAAATCACAAGAAGTGCAGACACAAGCACTGGCTAGGAAAATGTGGATGGAGGTGAAGTCCTCTTCACTTGAGCCAGTGAACAGATACTCACTCTTTGCTGAATTCATCAATTTCATTGCTGAATTTTCAGCCTTTCAGCCACTGAGAGTTCTGTCTTTCTCCTCAGTGGACTTAGGGCAGCATCTCTTTCAGGTGTTGAAGCAGAGGCCGAGGTTTGTTGCCTTGAAGAAGCAGCCCTCGTACATCGGCGGGGAGAACCTGGAGCTGCGCGATTACCAGCTGGAGGGCCTCAACTGGCTCGCTCACTCCTGGTGCAAGTATGTACAGAGCCTGGGATGTTCATTCTGCAGCTCTTCTGTCCCTCAAGGATTTGGCACACCTCCTTTTCAAGTGAGGTCTTTACCCACCCTCCTTCTGCAGCTTGGAGGGTTTCAAATGTTACCGTGCCCAGCTGCATCACAGACAGTGCAAGCAGGAACTACCTAAAGCATGAACTTAAGAAACCTTGTGTGAAAACAAAAAGCATTTTCCCTGTCTGGGCCTGTTCACATGATGGATTTGGCTGAGCCTGGTACATATAAGCCCTAGATTTCCATTGACTTAATGGGAAAAAATGGTTTCTGGCTCAGTGTGCTTATATACTTATTGAAGTCTTTGAGAGATGTCCTCCTAAAATTAGGCCACTGATTCCCCTCTGCCTTTGCCTGTTTTCCTCCAGTTTGGAGTCATCATAGTTAATTTTTGCACATTATTGTGCCATGTTCATTCTGGCTGCCCCTGGGATCCACTTGGAAGTGTTCAAATAACTGTTTTTGCACTGCCCCTCTCTGTCCTTGTTGTGGATTGCTGTTCATGTGGCAGAAACGTGCACTCAGACAGCATTTTTGTTTGTTCTCCTCTTTCTCAGGAACAACAGCGTGATCCTGGCTGATGAAATGGGACTGGGCAAGACCATTCAGACAATATCATTCCTGTCTTACCTGTTCCATCAGCACCAGCTGTATGGCCCTTTCCTGGTGGTGGTGCCCCTGTCCACCCTCACCTCCTGGCAGAGGGAGTTTGAAGTGTGGGCACCTGAGATAAACGTGGTGGTTTACATTGGAGACCTCATGAGCAGGAACATGGTGTGTAATCAGAGAGCAAAGGGTGAGGGCTCAGGGAGAAGCACTGGGTGCAAAGCAGCAGCTGGTGTGTGATGTGTGTGACACACAGTCAGCTGGAGAGGCTGGTGGATAGTGCTGGCAGCACTGCAGGCAGCTGGAGCTGGTGTAGCTGAGTCTGTGGGTGTAACTCCCTGCTACAGGGAATTTTCTGCTTTATTTTGCCCCTTGGAGTTAGTGCAAGGGGCAAAATTACTTCTCTCAGAGAGTGCAGGAGCACTGACTTCTCTCAGAGCTTGTACTGATCTGGAGTGAAACATGCAGTGAGAAGTCCAGCAGTGCAAAATGCTTGTCTTCAGTGTTTGGGGCTGGTCAGACAATGGAGCACACAAGTGTTGGGACTCCAGTGGTGTCTGCAGTGAGGTGCTGTGTTCATTAATGCCACAACTGCAGGTTAACCTTATTTTGTTACCTGTGCAAGGGCAGTTGAACCATGTGTGCACTAAAACTAATTGTTCCTTGGGCACCTTGAGCTCATCAAACAGCATCTTAGAAGGGGTTTGGTCTTGGTTGGAATCTCTGGCTTACAGCTACACTAAAATAACAATTGTTAACTCTTTCCTTTTGATAACAAATGTTCAAGTTAACTTTTGTCTCCCCTCATAGATTCGTGAATATGAGTGGATCCATTCTCAGTCTAAAAGATTGAAATTCAATGCACTTATCACAACATATGAGATCCTCCTGAAGGATAAGGTGAGTCATTACTCCAAGAATGTTTTTATTTAGACTTTCTGTCATTTTCAAAGGAGAAAGCCAGTTCTCAGCTAGTGGGTTTCACCTCTTCCCTCTGTGGTGATGGAAAACTACAGCCACTATTTGCTTTTCCTTCCCAGTAATGCAAGGGAATGTGGGAATGTGGGACACATTTTGAAAAAATCACTCTTGTACTGCACAGTTGTGTTATGTTTTTTACATGTAAGACATCTGGCAGGATCCAGCAGTACCTGGATTTTTACCTTTAGGTTTGTTAAGAGGACAAAACATTAGACTGAACCACAGTGTTAAGAGGACAAAACATTAGACTGAACCACAGTGTTAACAGTATTTACATGTTTACATCTACAAAAAATCTTACAAGTCTCCTTAGGAAATATTCATCAGCCCTGTCAGTGTATCACTGAGTCCTAGCAGAAAACTAACAGCTTAAAAAAAAAAAAAAGAAAAAATAATTTAAATCAAAACTCTTGGATTACCTGAAATTTTTAGCTTTGTTCATCTGCTCTCCTGTTCTTGCTCCAGTGGGACTAGTGCTACCCAGGGCCCCAAGGGCATGGAGAAAGGGGGGAATAAAGAGCTGGGGAAGGACTCTGCTTTCTGGGTAAAGCAAAGGAGGACTAGGGTAGGTGTACTTGCTGCAGGGCTATTGAGATACAGCAGGAGTGTTGTTCAGCATGGCTGACTTTCACCTTTTCCTTTCTGGGAAGGCACCCTGGTCCCCAAATTTTGTTAGCAAGGAAATCCTGTGAGGATGCAGCCACAGGGCTGGGTCAGGACACCCTGGGCAGCGCACACTGCAGGGCTTCCTGCCTTGGGGGGACACACATGTGCAAGGTGCTGGGGCCTGTCTGACCAGCATCTCCTTGGTGCCTGTGTTTTTTCCTTCTCTGCCTCCAGACTGTTTTGGGAAGCATTAACTGGGCCTTTCTGGGCGTGGACGAAGCCCATCGGTTGAAAAACGACGACTCCTTGCTGTACAAAACCTTGATTGATTTCAAGTCCAACCACAGGCTGCTGATCACTGGCACCCCACTTCAAAACTCACTCAAGGAGCTCTGGTCCCTGCTGCACTTCATCATGCCAGAGAAGTGAGTCTTCTTTCAGGCCTTCCAAGAAATGTCTCTGTTCCATTCTTGTCTGTTAAACAGGCTCAAGGGAGTGCAGAATGGCAGAAATCCCTGAAATAAACTCAGTGGTGTGACAGCAATGATAGGAGAACAGACATTACTGGGGAGAATCAAAGGTTAAATAACTAACACAAGGAGTATTTCTGGCAGCAAACTGAATGGGGAAACCTGATACATGCCTTTCAAATCTGTCTGCTGTCTTCCAGACATCTCTAAAAAGATAAATTTGTTTTAAGCAATCATTTCTGCCATTTCTGAGGTTTCCAGTACACTGTGGTTCAGGCACCTCTGCCAGCCATTTCGTGGCAGCTCTGGGGGTGCTGTCTGGCTGATTGTGTGTCCACAGTGTAACAAATGTTTTGTTTCCTTTAAAATAAAATGAGCTATGGGCATCTCTAAAGCTAAGGCAGGCATGCCCCAAAAGCTCACTGAAATTGTGTTTGACTGCAAGAAGAGCTGTCCCCCAAATTCTTTTTGTTGGATCACATAAACAGTGAAGGAGAGGCTTGAAGTTTCCCAAGTGGAGGAGAGCAGATCTCCACATTTCAAAGGAGCTGTCAGAGGAAGCAACAATCCCAAAAGAGCCTTCAGAGCAGGGTAAAACAGTCCAGTTGTCAAAGCCGTGCCTGGGGGAGGCACCGTGGAAAGTTCAGAAACTGCTGCCAGGTAAATGCCAACAGAGTGAAATAGTGGGAAACTTGGGATTTTGGGTCCTGGGAGTCAGTGTGGAGCTCAAATATAAGATGTGAGGAAGGTATCTAAGCCCAGAGATCTTCTAGCTTTGCCACCAATCTGTTCAATTAACCAGAGCAGAGTGAATCTGTCATCTTGCACTGTTTCCATTAAACTGCTGTTCTCCTCTCTTGTGGTGCAGCAGGAGTGTATCCAACAGATGCTGTTTGGTGCCATAAGACAAGAGGTATTCTGACACCTCCCTTCTCCTCCTTTCTGTTGCCAGGTTTGAGTTCTGGGAGGATTTTGAGGAGGATCATGGGAAAGGTAGAGAGAACGGCTACCAGAGCCTTCACAAAGTCCTGGAGCCGTTTCTGCTGCGCAGAGTGAAGAAGGATGTGGAGAAATCTTTGCCAGCCAAAGTGGAGCAGATCCTCCGGGTGGAAATGTCTGCTCTGCAGAAGCAGTACTACAAGTGAGTCACTGAAGGAGTTACTGGGAGTGCCAGTGGAAATGGGCACATCTTTCTGTGGGCCTTGGCAATGTGTTCCAGTGCTCTGTGCATACTGTGGCCTTCAGTGTGCAATGAGACACCATCACCTGTAGTACTGGGAGCTTCCCAGCAGGAATATGGGGATAGGGGAGTTGATTTCTTTCCTTCTGGAAGATGTTTCTGTAGAGTGGTGCAGTTCAGCTGGCCAGTTTTGCAAGACAGAGGTTATGTCTTCCCTGGGGGAGTGACAATATGCACAAAGTTGGGATGCTGTTCAATATTAAACAGTGATAATATCAATAGGAAAGTCAGATCAGGGTTTTTGGAAAGGAAAAAGCATCCTGTAAGAGAAGTGAGGAGAGATGGAGGCAGGGAAGTAGACTGATGCCTGAATGAGGTGTTCCTGAAGGTTTTGTTCCTCCAAGGCTCTGCTCTGCACTGAGTAATGATCTGAACTTTAATTTTCCTGCCTTCAGGTGGATTTTGACAAGAAACTACAAAGCTCTTTCAAAGGGAACAAGGGGAAGCACATCTGGTTTCCTGAATATTGTGATGGAATTGAAAAAGTGCTGCAACCATTGCTACCTTATCAAACCTCCCGAGGAAAATGAGAGAGAGAATGGCCTTGAGACCCTGCAGGTGAGTGGTGTCCTTGGTCACCACCTTTTTTCCTTAAATTTCATTCTTTTGTCCTCCCAACAAAATAATATCTGGTGAAGCTTTATAATCTGTAGCTTCTTCCTCAAAAATAGTTCTCACAGCTAAGCCATTTGAACCCCCAGCCCTCCACTTCTACTGTAGGCAACATTTTATGGCCTTCTAGAGCAGGAGTTGTGGGCAGTGTAGGATCTGTCTTGTGTGATTCATTGTGTGTGTGGGCTCTGCTGTGTAAATCCAGATGATTAGATTAGAGATGTACAACAGATGAATGACCCTGAAAAGAGCAGGTCTGTGCAGGGCTCTGTGTGATGCACATAAGGGTAAGATTGGAAATGATGGTTATTTCTTCAGTCTTTGATCAGGAGCAGTGGAAAGCTGATTCTCTTGGACAAGCTGCTGACCAGGCTGCGGGAGAGAGGCAACAGAGTGCTGATCTTCTCCCAGATGGTGAGGATGCTGGACATCTTGGCAGAGTACCTGACTATCAAACACTACCCTTTTCAGGTGAGAAACATCAGCATGGAAAACAGTGGGATCCCCTTGAAGGTGTGGGAAAAAAATGGAGGGAGCTCGAGCAGTGGGAGTCACTGAGTTCCCCAGAGGCTGGTGGCTGGGATTGCAGGCGGCACTTACTGGAAGGAACTGGGATGTCCCTTCATTGCAGTGTGGCCGAATCTCTGCAAAACTCCTGTGGCAGGCCCCTGGTTTGGGCTGTGTCACCCGAGGACAGCGAGCACAGAGAGCCTGTAACGGGAGCTGCGGTGTCACCCGCTGTGTGCCTGCTCCTGAGCATCCCCCAGCCCTTGTGACACAGCTGAGGCAGCGCGGTTATTTTTAATTGGCGGCTATTTTTAACAATTAAACGCTGCAGGCAGCACAGGGGGCTGTAGGGCTGGCAGCACTCGGGTGCAGCAGTGCCTCAGGGCTCCTTTACCTTCTTTCTTTTATCACTGTGGTTGGTTTTTGCAGCGCTTGGACGGCTCGATCAAGGGGGAGATCCGAAAGCAGGCGCTGGATCACTTCAACGCCGACGGCTCCGAGGTACCGCAGTCCTGGGCAGAGGGTTTGTGGCTGAGCCACAGGTTGTGACTGACACCAGGGGGTTAGTTAGGTCAGTTCTTCTCACAAGACCCCAGGTACTTTTAAAGACATGGATATGGCATGCTTTGCAGCCAGCCATATTGCTTATTTGGAATCTCTCACATCCAAGGAACGGGGCGGCAAGTCACAATTCCAGAAAGTTCTGAAGAGGCTGGGAAGAGCCAAATTTTAGCAGTTCTCTCCTTTTTGGTCTGGAGAATGAGATGGTTGCTGAGTGATTCCAGTCTGAAGCTGGTTTTGAATATGAAATGACAGAGGCAAAAGAAGGATTTTAAGTGTTGGCAGGCAGTGGAGTCTGGTGCTGGAGGTGAAAGTCTCCAGTGTAATAGGAGAGGGCATCTGAAACCTCTCATCTGGGCTTGCTGACTCACAGTGACTGGTGCAAGACACTTGTTTTTGTGTCAGTCAGCCCAGCTGTGAGAAATACCTTTCCTCACTCCAGGAGCCTGGGCTGGAGCAGGATTCTTGGCTCACACAGGGATTGTGAGAGATCATGGTTGTAGGAAAATTAATGAAAGGAAGTGTGAGGGGGGAAGAAACAAGAATGCCAGTAGAACCTGCCCTTTTCCCTGTCCTGAGGGACACCTATGGGGGCTCAGGCATCTTGGGTTCTAAGATGGTACAGTCTGTTCATTGCTGATCTCACTCCTAACAGGATTCAGGCAGCAAAAAGCAGATGTTTGCCTGCTGCCTTTGTAGGAGTCTGATGAGCAATGTGGTCTGACCTTCAGAAGTAACTACAAGGTGCCCTTGCCTTGAGCTGCTTGTGTTGCTCTCCCATATTGATTCATCCCTTCAACTGGGCCAGCACTGCCTCACCCTGGGTCTGGGCTTAAAGCCTGGTGCTGCTCAGCCTGCATGAACAGGGGACATGCGAAGGAAATCCTTTTTCTGCATTAAGAACCATGAGTGCAACAGAGCCTTCCCTTTTACAGCTTTTGAGTCACCACTGCTATATTATGCCCACATTTAACCGGTTAACTCATGGATGCTTTTTATTTTTTCCTTCCCAGGACTTCTGTTTCTTGTTGTCAACAAGAGCTGGAGGGTTGGGAATTAATTTGGCCTCTGCTGATACTGTTGTTATCTTTGACTCGGACTGGAACCCCCAAAATGATCTTCAGGCTCAGGCCCGAGCTCATCGGATTGGACAGAAGAAGCAGGTCAGCAGAGCTGCCTGGGTTGTTTTCACTGTGCCTTCAGTGTGTGCACCTAAACATCTTCTCACCTCACCAAAGCTTCTGAAAACACGGGCTTTTGGTCCCAGTCCTTGCTCCAGAGAGTGCTGCCTGAGGGAATCTCGTTTAAAAAGTAGGAGACAAAAAGCAGCCCAGATTTGCCAGGTGCCAAGTCTTCCTGTTGGTTTTGAGCATACCCAGAACCCAACCCATGGCATTGCACTTCTCAGCCTAATTCTAGTGGACTCTGTTCTTTCTTGTCCTGAACAAGTAAACAAAGTAGAACATCCACCTTTACTAGGGGTTATTAGATATGTGAAAAGCTAGTTTGGTGCTGGTTTGAATTTAGAGTGATTGTTTCAGAAGATTTTTGCTCTGTGCTTAGGCACACTACAGGATCTGTGTTAACCATCCTGATTTTAACTGGATCTCCTGAGGTACAGAGAGAATGTGATTGTTTTTCTTCTGAAAAAGCACATCTATACATGAAGAGACAATGTCAGCAGCCCAGTGAAAACAGCTGAGGGATGCATTGCTGTACCAGCAGAGCCTGTCCAGTAAATAGCTGTGGTCTCTTTTTGCCTCTCAGGTGAATATTTACCGCCTGGTCACCAAGGGGACAGTGGAGGAGGAGATCATTGAGAGAGCCAAGAAGAAAATGGTGCTGGATCATTTGGTTATCCAGCGTATGGACACCACTGGCCGGACTGTTCTGGACAACAACTCTGGGAGATCCAAGTACGTGGCTGTGTCAGGAGGCAGAAATGTCTGGAGCACGTGGCATAACCAGCTTCCCCTGCTGGCATTTCCCAGTATTTATTTGATAGGGTACAGGGCAGAAGGCTAATAAATCATGGCAGCTTCCACTGATTTGGCTTCTGCTGCCATTAATTTGGATACATAAGATAAAGATGATCAGAAATTTAAAATTAGTTTTTGCTTAGCCATTAATTTGGATACATCAGAAATTTAAAATTAGTTTTTGCTTCTGTCTCTCACCCAGAGATCATCCTGGTCTGAGGGGAACCTGGCTGTGCAATGGCTGCATTTTAGCAGTGACCTCAGTTTCTCTTCATTTCCCCCAGTAGATGGAGGTGGTTCCCATTGCAGTCTTTGTGTGTGCTGGAGCAGGAAAGAGAATAATAACAAAGCTTTTTATAGTGCTGGGTAGAAAACTTACTCCTCGCTTCAATTAGGAAAAACTTTGGTATGGTTTTGTGCTGTAGCAGTTCTGACTGAACAGCTCAAAGCACCTTTTCCTTCTTTTCTTCTTGCAGCTCAAATCCCTTCAATAAAGAGGAGCTGACAGCTATTTTGAAGTTTGGAGCTGAAGATCTTTTCAAGGAGCTTGAAGGGGAAGAGTCAGAGCCTCAGGTAGTTTGAAATTGAAATCACACAGCAGTTTGTAGTGCTCTCCAGGTCTGCAGGAAGGACTGTGTGTGGTTGCTCCTGCTTTGTTCTTGCCCTGTACATGAGAGCAAGTTGGTGAATAGGACGTGTTGGAGTCTGGAGAAGCTGGAAGCAGAGTCTGGGATTGGGGGATCAGGGGTTGAGGAGAGCCTTGTTGTTAGGGATTAAATATTAATGGTCACCCAGGGAGTCCCTTGCCTTCTGAGGGTTATTAGCTAATGATAGCACAGCCTGCTGAAGGCTCCTCTCCCTGCCTCTTCTGAGCACTTGCCCAGCACCCTTTTTTGGTGGTTCTGAGCGAGGCAGGAGTCAGCACAGTGCAATAAACAGGTTGCTCTCTTCTGCCTCAGTGCAACATTGCTTGACAGTTTAGCATTGAGTGTTTTGACCAATTCTCTTAATGGCCCAAGCAGCAGAGTTTCTCCCCAGGGAAACAGTCTACAGTTCATACATCTCTGCCTGGAAATTTTCCCCACTGTTCAGCCTTCGTGGTCCTTTCCTTCTGTTCTGTCACCTTATTTGTACTTCGTTGTACCACTTGAGATAGTTCATCCCTGCCCTCTGGGATGACACCCTGCAGATATTTGCACTTTATTTAGCTCATATCAGCACACGAGCCTGTTCTCAAAGCCTCTTACTTCCTGCTGTGCCTGGCACCCTCTGCTTTATCCCTCCTTCTCCCTGACTGGCAGGAGATGGACATCGATGAGATTCTGCGTCTGGCTGAAACCCGGGAGAATGAGGTGTCCACCAGTGCCACCGACGAGCTGCTCTCACAGTTCAAGGTATGGACCCCAGGCTCTGCACTGGGGTGTGGCAGTGTGGCTCCCCACACCACGCCATGGAGGTGAGGTCAGTAACAGGCAGGAGCACCTCGCAGAGATCTCAGAGTCACAGAATGGTTTGGGTTGGAAGGGAGCTTAGAGATCATCCAGTTCCAACACCCCTGAGGTAGGTATTCATTTAATATCAGGAAAGTGGTTTTGAAGGCTGTGAATAAAATGCAGAATTTACCAAATTTGGAAACAAACCCAATAATTTACAAATACTCAGCAGTACTTCTTAAACTGCACGTACTTCCTCAAAAGCTGTTAGTCCAAAGACGAGGCAAGGAGCCAGGAATGTAGTGGCATAGGGATCAATTATGGAGTAGTTATGGAAGTGTTGGCAGAATTCCTGTGGAGAAGAAGTTGAGGCTTAGCAGACAGCTCTGGGGTGCTTCTGCCAGGGGAGGGAATTGCTAAAACTTCTCCTTTGCTTGTAAAAGGTTGCCAACTTTGCAACCATGGAGGAGGAAGAGACAGAGCTGGATGAGCGGTCCCAGAAGGATTGGGATGATATCATTCCAGAAGAGCAGAGGAAAAAGGTGGAGGAGGAAGAAAGGCAGAAAGAATTGGAGGAAATCTACATGCTGCCTCGAATCCGGAGCTCAACGAAAAAGGTACAGCCCATCTTGAGGGGATGAGAGGCTGGAGGAGAGAGCTGCCAGAGACAATGCTCAGGGCCTCCTTGCCATCTAAGCATCTCTCCCTCCTCCAGAGTTGGTTGGGAATATAGCACAGAGGTAGCACAGTGACCTCTTGTTGGAACTGTGCATTGGAGCAATGGTTTGGGATGCAGCCTGAGGGCCCAGACTGGACTTGGTGCGACTCATCTCACATTAGCAGACAAAATCAAAAGAATCTGTAGTGACCACAAAGCAAAGTACCCAATTGTATTGGATTTTGCTGCAGATTTTGCCATTTTTTGGCTGTCTCTTTTCCTTGGGTTCTCTAGCTCCCTGGGTGGCTCTTGCCTAAATCTGGATCCTGAGGAGCAAAAGAGATGGTGTCTTCCCAAGTTCTTCTTTATATAATGGGATCTACCCCAATCCAAAAGAAAGCTGACTGTGAGAGGATGCTCTGCTGGGGTGTGGGACTTTAAGGGGTTAGAACTGTTATATGGGGTGAGCTCTGGGGAAAAACATTGATGTGAAAAACACAGAGAAGGATCATTCATATTGGATGAATCCACATTGGTTTCTGAGGTGTCCTGGTTTTCAAAATAGTCCAAGGGACTGTGGCACAAACCCATGGAAATCAATATTTTAACATCTCTTAGTAGATCAAAATGCAGTTGTGAAACTGGTGGCTGTAAAAGGAGGATGACCACCACAGCCTCAGCCAGCTGGGAACTGCAGAGGGTGTGCAGCCTCTCTGGGCTGGTCACATGGGCTCCTGCACCTTCAGGCATGGATGCTCAGGTGGTTTACAGTCCATTAGATAGTGCCAGTGCAGGAGGGACAGAAAAGGTTGTTAGCTGGTTAGATGAGCAGTTGTTAACTGTCCTGCTGTTTCTCTGCTACCTGCAGGCTCAGACAAATGACAGCGAATCTGATGCAGAGACCAAGAGAAGGCTGCAGAGATCGTCTGGGTCAGAAAGCGAGACCGACGATACCGACGACGAGAAGAGACCCAAGCGCAGGGGACGCCCTCGGAGTGTTAGAAAAGACACTGTGGAAGGGTTTACTGATGCTGAAATCAGGAGGTCAGTGCTGGGCACAAGAGACAGTTCAGAAGACAAATATAGAAATCCCATGCAGGTGAAGAAAATCCCAGATTAATCCAGGATGTGTTCACCCGTAAGCACGTCAGTTGTTAGGCAGAGCTGGTTCACTGGCACCTTTATATAATTCAGCTTGATCCCAGCTGATGACCTTAACATTCAGGTCAGTGCAGAATGGACTGGATTGTCTTTAGTTAGGACACAGTGACTGGTACCTTCCTAAAATTAATCCCTGCTGTAACTGCCCTTTGTGGGCCAAGTGGATGGAGCTAATGCTGTATAACATGTGAGGTCTTAGGTGCCATGAGCTGCAGATCTGGAGAAGCCAAGGGCTCTGGCCTTGCTGACACTTTTCTGGCAGTCATCCTGCTGATTTAAGCTCTCAGTGAAAGGCAGGCTCTGGCAAAATGACCTCATGAGAAGCACTGGTCCTGTCGATCCGAGTGTGTCAGTCTCTGATGTCAGCTGGAGACTGAATTTCAGAGCATTGTTTTCTTCTCCTATCTTCTAATTCTTGAGTCTTTCCCAGAGATCTTTGTCTTACAGCTCTACCCAGATGTTCAGCCAAAGATGGAAGAGAGGGAGTTGTGAGTTTTCCTTAACTCTCTATCTCTGAGCTGGTGTATTTTTAAGCAGGAGATAACAGAGTTTTTGGGCTGTGATAGCTGCCCCATAACCATCTTAAAACCCTGGAGCAGGAAGGACATGTTACAATATGCAATACAACAGCCATTTAGGTTATTGTGATGTAGGAGAAAGGAGCTGAAAGAATACAAAATGAAAATAAGAAGGCAGAACATTAATTAATTTTAAAAATAACCTGTAGTTGTAGCCATTGTGTCTACTCCCAGCTCAAGGCAATGTTTGATTGCAGCAACTCTTGCTCTAAAGATGTGTTAGCCACAGCAGGGATTTTCACAATAAAAATAAGACATGAAAATAAATAGCAAACCTCATCTGCAAACCTCTGGGATGGATTGAACCACATTTGGCTCTTCTGTGATGGGTTGCTACATTTACAGCCCAAGCTTTAAAATTACTAATGACATTGATTTAATGCCTCTTTTCTTCCTGGAAAAATGAAGTTAATAATTACCAACATGGTGTGAGCCAATGCTTTCTTCAATTTTTTTTTTTTTTGCCCTACAGTTACCACTCTCCTTTTTTTTTTACCCCTCATCTGTCAAACACTCAACATTCATAATAATGTTGTGTTCTTCTTCAGCCAAGGTCACAAAACTCTTTGTGGGGGCTAATGGATGAGGCTTCCCAGTTCTGAAGGATGCTGAGCTGATCAGTGGGGAATGCAAGGGTGATAATGTGACAGGCTGTAATTAATATATTCAAGGACATTTGTGATATTGGACCTACTTTTTATGGCAGCTAGTTTAGTTTTTTAAATTTTTTTTTTTCTCCTTAGGTTTATCAAGGCTTACAAGAAGTTTGGATTGCCTCTTGAACGGTGAGTCCCAGCCTGGCCCTGCTCCAGAGGGGAATCATGGAGGCACATTGTACTTTGAGCACAGCCAGGCACACATTGCTCTGGGTGTTTGACACAGCCTGCACAGACAGCACAAGCCTTGCTGCCCTGCCATCAGACCCCAAGCACTGCTGGACACTCCCTGGTGTCTCTGTTGATGGGCACTGATGAGTGCTGGCCAAAAACCAGCTGGAGCAGTCGTGGTGCCAGGCTGTGACACAGCAGGGTCCTGCTGGCACAGTCCTGCCCTTGGGGCATTCCCACTCTGCCCAGAAAGGAGAGGGAGCAGCTGTCAGAAAAACAAATGCTACCCAAAATACTTGCCAAGCTTCTCTGTACACGTTAGCCTCAGGACTGAATTTGGAGCATCTTTCCATGCTCTGTCCCTCCCGAAGGGAAACAAAGAGAGGCACCATCCTTAAATATGGATCTGCAGGGCCCTGGCCCTGTGCTGGCTCAGGAAAGGTCTCAGGGCTGGGTCAGAGTTCCCTGAATGTGTTATAGGAGAAATTTAGTGCTTTTTCAGCTGGTTCTACTCTCCTGGTATGAAACACAAGGCTTTCATGTGAGTCTTGATGTTCCTGACTTCAGGCAGGCAAAAGAGACAGCAGATGGCAGCTTTGGACCATCAAATGGAGTTAGTGGGGAACTGGAAAAGCCTGAGGGAATACTGGACAGTCACAGAGGGTCCCTGTTGTCCCCAAGATACACAGTTCTCACCTTTGCTTTGGTACTAAAAAATCCAGAGGATTGGATCTGTTTCTCTACATCTGCACTGCAGCTGTTAGACCAAAAAAAGACAAAGACTGGGTTATTTCCTGCATGAACTCAACTCATGCATGTTTTATACATTCACATTTGTACAGCATTGAGCTGTGAAACAATTGAATAGGAAGTGATTGAGAGAAGAACTGCTGTATCACACACAAAACTCTCCCTGTTCCCCAGGTTGGAGTGCATTGCCCGGGATGCTGAGCTGGTGGACAAGTCTGTGGCTGACCTGAAGCGTTTAGGGGAGCTCATCCACAACAGCTGTGTGTCAGCAATGCAGGAATATGAGGAGCAGCTGAAGGAAAATCCAGCAGAAGGTAGGCAAGGGGGTTGTGTGCTGCTGTTAGGGTGGTTTTGGGAGTGTTCCATGGAGCTTGTGAGGAAACCATTCCTGTGCCAGACAGGGAGGCCACACTGTGACTTAGAAGCAATGAACAAGAACACATTCAAACAACCCCATCTCTGCCAGGCACCTCTCACCCACAGAAAGGAGCCCCTGAGCTTTCTGCTCAGATTGGACAGTGCCACTTGGGTCTGTTGGCTTCTGCTGGACATGAGTTTTTGTGGGGAGAGGCTGAAGTGACCAGCTCATTGAATGCTGGGCCACAAAGCGAAGCAGATCTTATTTTAACTGCTCCTGGGACTGGAAATCAAACTGGTGCTGTGTACTCTATGGTAAAGCTGGGTCCACAGTTAGCAATTCCCAGAGCTGGAATCACCACCCACTCTCTGGCTGTTCTTTGCTGTTTGTTTGGACATACAGAGTCAGGGATGGATTTCCTGCTGGGTCTCTGCCTGTTGCAGCTGACCAAGACTGCAGAATCAACAGCTCCAGTGTATTTAGAAGTATTTTTAAGAAAATGGTACTGGGAGGTGTTCAAATTGCAGATCTAAGTGAGTTAGTGGAAGAAAATTTGTATTTTCAGCATTATGTTTAAATAAGAGGTTGCAGGCAAGGTCTTGATCACTGTCTGTGAAGCCATTTTACAGAGACACTTCCTTCTGTAAGAGTTCTCTTAATTGCTGTGTTTTATTACTGAGCAGGGAAAGGACCTGGAAAGAGACGAGGTCCTACCATCAAGATTTCTGGTGTCCAAGTCAATGTGAAATCCATCATCCAGCACGAAGAGGAGTTTGAAATGCTGCACAAATCCATTCCCTCGGACCCAGAGGAAAGGAAGAAGTGAGTTTGGCTAAGTAGGCAATGCAGAAAGAGGCTCAGGGAATTTGGATTTTGTAGTGGAAAGAGAATAGCCTGGATGTGTGGATTTGCTTTATCCTCCACAGCATTAAAAGTAGCTCGTGTTTGAAATGCCTTTAGGTACCGCCTGACGTGCCGCGTCAAAGCTGCTCATTTTGATGTAGACTGGGGAGTGGAGGAGGATTCTCGCTTGTTAGTGGGAATTTACGAGCATGGTTATGGAAACTGGGAGCTAATTAAAACAGATCCGGAGTTGAAGTTGTCTGATAAGGTAGGTGGCTTTGCTTGCTGCTTCCATTGGGTCCATTGCAGTGCTCATAGCAAACACACCTCATTTACTCCAGAAACAGATGTTTATGTTGGTAACTACTCCAAAAACCGTGATCAATAATAATGAGGAAAACAGTGGCCTTCATGGAATGTTGCATGCTCGATGGAAAGCAGAGTTGTGTCATTTGGTGGGCAGTACCAGGTGAACCACACTGAATTGATGCAGGCAGAAAATGGCAGTGCTGACATGTGTGGTTCTGTGCACAGGATGGAAGAGGCTGTGACTTGATGTTTTCTTGAGCATCTCACAAGAAGCTGAGTGTGAATTTCTCAGTGGAAATAATTTTTCACAGATTTGACATTGCTTATGTCAAGGCTGTTCCGTGTTAGCTTTGAGGGTATGGTTACACGACTGGGAATGGCAGCACAGCCAGCTGGAAAGCCTCCATCTAGTTCCTCTCTTCCTCAGTCATCCCCACAAGAACAGTTTACAGGCACCATGTTGAAATGATCTGGGTTAAAAATAATCCACCATTCCTTGTGTCAGTGTGGTGGAAAGAGTGTGGAAACTGCAGCACGGGGCTGAGGAGCACTGGGAGTCTCCACACCAGCTTTGCTGCCAGCGTGCAGCATTCCCCTGACATCCCTGCTGGTGCTTTTAGCAAAGATCAGGCTCTGCCTGAGAGCCCTCCATGTGTGGAGCTCAGAAAGGCGTTTTGCAATGGAAACAGCTGCCTGAAACGCGCCACCCATTTTCCAGTGAAGTATGAAGCAAACCTAGCTGGCAAGCTGAGCTATTTCCTCCACAAAGTGTCACCTTTCAGCCTTGTTTTCCACTCAAAATTGTGCATCTGTGCCCTGCTGTAGCAATGTCTCAGGTTACCAGAGTGACTGGGCTGCTGTGACCAAGCTGTCACAAACAAATCTGAGGTGTCACGGCAAGTGGACTCAGTTTTGCAACTCAAGGTCCCAAATATAGCTTGTAAAGGACTTTTTTCTTCAAGAGAATTTAGCTAGCTTGCAAGGCTTAGCAAGCCTTGGGATCCTTTATCTTCTGCAGTATTCCAAGGGGAGGGATGCTTGCTTGCTAGGAGCTTTGCCTTTGGACAGACAGGGACAGTCTGAGAGGGGGAAGGAAGGATTGAGCCTTCTTGTTCCCCCAGAAGGTGCAGCATCTGCTGCCCTTTGCTGGGCCTGGAAGGGCTGCTGCTAATGTGAAAATCTTTTGTCAAGCTTTGTGCCTATGGGTGTATATATATATATATATTTTATTTTTTTTTTCTGCTTTATCAAAGATTCTACCAGTTGAGACAGATAAGAAACCTCAGGGAAAACAGCTCCAGACCCGAGTTGATTATCTGCTGAAACTGTTGAAAAAAGATCTGGACAAGAAAGAAAACATGAAAGATGGGGAAGAGGTGAGATGTGGCTGCTTGATTCTGAGGGTTTCAGGGAGAGTGGTTGGCTGATATTCCCAGGTCACCAGACATCATTTCTATGAAGGAATATGAACTTATTTTCTGATTGAATTGTGATATTTCTCTTTTAAATGATAATTAATAAGGGGCAGGTTATTACTGCTGTTACTGAAGGAATTGGGCTCATCAGTTTTCCTGCCAGCCTGCAGGATCTGCAGCTGTTTGCACAATGCTCAGGAGATGGGAAATGTCCCCAGGAAATAGCTGTAGCTATTTGCTTTCCCTGACTTGTTCTATATTTTTACCAGGGCAAGCTAAAGAAGAGGAAACCACGAGTGAAGAAAGAGAACAAGGCTCCCAAAGTCAAAGATGAGCATGGGAATGAACTCTCCTCTCCTCGGCACTCAGACAACCAGTCAGAAGAAGGTGAAGTCAAGGTGAGTCAGCCTTGGTGAACAGTGGCTTTTCCAGGTTTCCTTGAGCTGTGCTGTTACTGCCCAACCTCACCTTGGGAAGCATTCCCAGCAAAGCCCCCAGGAGTCAGAGGCACTAAGAGTGAATTCCCACAGGACTGGCAAACTCACAAAACCACCCATACAGCTATTGGTGTGAAAGAAGGACCTTTCCCACCTATTCTTTTAGCTCAGTGCTTTAAGGGATTTGGGGCATCCCAGAATGGCCACAAACATCCACACATTGACTCAGGGGAAAGGTTGTCTCAGGACAAAGCCTGTTGCCCTTATAAAGGAGAGAAAGAAGAATTGTTTCCCTCTCCTTTTGGGCATGTCAGCCCGTGGTGAAGCTGGAGTTTACCAAGGTCATGCTGTTGCTTAGAAAATGTTCAGTCTTTGAGTGGTTTGGCTTGTAGTCTGAGGTTTTTTGTTCGTGTGCTGATCAGTATCTACCTCAGGGGCTGATCGTTCTGGAGTGCAGCTGGCACAGGAGAGCAGGGCTGCTCTGCAGCTTGCCAGCTTGTCACAGAGTGGGGCTGGTCTGGTTTTCATACCCTTTTGTCACCTTTGGGGGGATGGCAGCTGCTTGAGCAAGGCTCGATGTCTGCTTAAAGAGGTGTGAGGGTAAATCTGGATGGACCTCAAAAGTTGCCTGCGTTTTAAGGATGTTTTATGGAAGAAAATGTACATGAGGTGAGGGACTCCAACTTTGTGCTGTGACTGATGTTCTAGGAGGATGGCTTGGACAAGAGCCCAGTGAAAAAGAAACAGAAGAAGAAAGAGAACAAAGAGAACAAGGAAAAACAGACATCCTCTAAGAAAGAAAAGGAAAGCGATAAAGAGAAAAAGAAGACAAAAGACAAGAAAGAGAAGGTATGTGATACTTTCAGGAGCAGCATGATAGGGAAGTCCCTGAGCAGGACATCTGTGAGACTTAGGATTCATTAAAGGCCCTGTGAGATGAGGGGGTATCCCTTTTTCAGCCCTTCTGAATTGCCATAAAAAGTAGAAAAGGCGATATGTCCTAAAGCTTTGTGGAATGCGACCAAAATGGAAGAGATTTTGTCAGGCTGCCTTTAAAGTACAGCTGTCCCTGTGGCATGGATATGGCCACAGAGCTGATGCTAAGGAAAGAGCCTGGAGCACTCAGATCAAAGTTCTGTCCAGCTGTGATTTATCACAGGGTTGGCAGGTCCTTGTCTGTATTGCCCTTTAATTTAAACTCACCCAAATGACCCAAGTGTCCACACCATCAAGACTGTAAGTTGTCATTGTCACTGTTCAGGACTCAACAGAATGAGTGTTTCAACATCACTGGTATGCTGGAGGCTCAAATGTCTCTTGAATTTTGGGTACAGCTGCCCTGAGGCTGGGTGCAAATTGGAAGGGGGGTAAAAGCTTCCATAATAATGACCTGAAGTACCTGTCCAAGAAACAGGTATGTACTACATGCCCAGTGTCTTTTGACACTGAGGTCATAAGTGCAAAAAAGAAGTTTTGTTGCCTATGTAGGGGAAAGTTTGCTTTCCAGTGATTTTTGGTGTGACTTTCATTGCAAGGAAGTCATATAGGTAAAAATGTACATGAACAGGCCATGATTTGAGAACTAGTGGTATCACAAAAAGTTGTAGATCCTTGTAGACATGAGACTACCCTGAGTCCTTTGTGAGGGAGAGATACTCTTTATTTTAACCTCTCTTCCAAGTCTTCAACATTGGTTTCTCCCCATGAGTGTGAATATCATATTCGTGTCCAAACTGTTGGCTCTGACTTCTCCCTGCTCCCTCATGGATGACATAAAGCTAAACAGAGCCATTGCAGCTCAACAGTTGGAGATTTTGGGAGGAAAGTTGTAGGAACAGTGCCCAGGTTTAGCAACTGCCAGTAACAATAGTGTGGAGGTTGTTAGCTGGGTCACTGGGGATCCTCCATTCTGGCTCATTGCGTGATGTGTGTAATTTGTCCTTGTAAAGCCTAAAGGTGGTGAGGCCAAATCTGGAAGTAAAGGGAAGAGATCACAGGGTCCTGTCCACATCACTGCAGGGAGCGAGCCAATTCCCATTGGAGAAGACGAGGATGATGATCTGGACCAAGAAACATTCAGCATAGTGAGTATTTTCCTTGGGAAATGGGAGGGCAGTGCCGAGAGCCTGGCGAGGCAGCCAAGGTTTGCTCAGATGTCATCCAAGGATGTGTTTTAGGTGTTGGGGTGTGAACCCCCTCCTTATGCCCCACAGGGGTTTCCTCTGGCTGATCTGAGAGGAGGGCAGGACAGCCCTGGACAAGAGCTGCCCACCAGTGCTGCCAGCTGGTAGCCTGTCAGCAGAGCATGCACAGGGGCTCTCTGCTTCAGCTGGTGACTTCCCCTGCTCAGCTGGCAGCCCTGGGTTACAGAACACCCTGCAGCCTTATATTCCCTCTCTTGTAGAAGCCAAGGAGCCAGTGAAGCTCTTTCAGGCAAGGAAATGTAGGAGAGTTTTGAGGGTGACCTTGACGGAGGTGCAGAGCTGTGTAAATGCTCTCACAGCAAACATGCCCACAGGGCTCATTGTAAAAATTGCCTTTTAGTAAAAGTTGTCATGGCAGATTCTCCTTGGCTGGAATACCACTTCTTAAAATCAGTTCTCTCAATGCAAATCTCTGTATTTGTCATAGGTCCTGTGGGGTTGTCTTTAACTTTCCTTCTCTGGTGTACAAAAGATCCCGGCAGGCAGTCAAAAAACCTGTCTGATTTCCTATCTGTGCACAGTGTTGATGTGCCCAGGCCGAAAAACACGGTGCTTTCATTTCATGTCTGCTAGTTTTGGTAAAAGCAAGCATTAAAGTGACCAAAGATGGGATTGCACAGAATTGAACTGAGCAGTCTTTCAGCTGGGGTGGCTGGTTCAGTGTGTGGAGGCTTGGATACACTGCCCTGCCTGCCCTGGGATCCGTGCAGGGGCAAACTATGTGTGGTTCCTGCCTGCAAAGCAAATTGTTCCCTCCTAAAAGGCAGGGGCGGTGGAGGTGGGGAGACTCTTGTCTTTTACTGATTATTGTCTGCAGCTTGTCTAACAATTTCCTATTTTATAGCTGATTTCTCCTTGCCTAATGGCCAGATAAAGCTAAACGAGCTTCTTTTCGATTAACGGGGCAATGATGTAGAGCCTTCTGCCAAATTAATCACTTTCAACTCTCTGTTGCTCTTTCAAGTGCAAGGAAAGGATGAGACCAGTCAAAAAAGCACTGAAGCAACTTGATAAGCCTGATAAGGGACTGACAGTTCAAGAACAGCTGGAGCACACACGCAACTGCCTGCTGAAAATCGGTGATCGCATCTCTGAGTGCCTTAAAGCCTACACTGACCAGGATCACATCAAGCTGTGGAGAAGGTGAGGGATCATTTTGTTTTCCTTAGCTGGTCTAGGATATTTTGAAATGGTAGTCAGAAGCTCCTGGCTTTTTTGTGGATGGATGTGCCATTTGCCTCCTACTTAACCCGTGAAATCTTGTGGTTTCTGGTCCACTCAGCCTACAGAATCACAGAATAATGGAATGGTTTGGGTTGACAAAGAAATAGTGGTAAAGAAATTCTATTACTGCATGGGCGATCCCTGAGGAAGGGGAGAGAATGACGAGGAGGATTCTAGTTTATCTGAAGGCTAATTAATTACTTTATTATACTATATTATATACATTTCACCTAAACTGAATCTGTTAAGTATTTACTCTGCACACAACTGCACAGTACTTTGCATTCATTTTGTGATTGTTTCATGACTGTCAGTAGACAGTCCTGACACACACACACACATTCTTGGCCGCGATAGGCCAAGGGAACAAAACATCTTCACTTTGGGTAAATAAATTTTATATTGTATTCTACTTTGGCACAACACAGGTACAGCAAACGAGACAAGAATTGTGTTTTCTTTCTCTGAAAGAAAACATTCAGAGAAAATGTTCAGAGATTGTGAATCTCAGAAATATTCTTGGGAAGAATTGTGCCTTGCTTTTCTCTGTGAAGAGAAATGTGGCAACAAAATTCAAAGAATAAAATTGGGCCAACATAGTTTAGGGAGGAGAAAGCTAAAGGTATGTCAATAGGTATTATTTCTTGGAGAATTCAGGGAAACAGATGGGCTTAAACCAAAGCACTAAAGAGACTCTTTGCTCGTGGCAGACCGAGGAGACTGGCAGAGGGATCGAAAGTTCAACTACGGCGGCAACAGCAACCAGATGTGGGGCGGGGAGCGGCACCACCAGTACGAGCAGCACTGGTACAAGGACCACCACTACGGGGAGCGGCGCTCGCGGGGGGATCCCCACCGCAGCTCCGGGAACTACAGACCAAACAACCTGTCCCGCAAGAGGCCCTACGAGCAGTACAACAGCGACCGAGACCACAGGGGCCACCGCGACTACTACGACAGGTGAGCGATGGCCTGCCGCGGTTTGGAGCGACAGGGGTCTGCTGAGGAAGGCAGGAGCCTCCCCTGAAATGGAAAATGTAAATAATAACCACTCCACTGATAGGAATAGAATACACACACCCATTTCCCACCTAAGACATTGCCCTCGCCTCAGCGGGCTTGGGGAGCTGATCTCCATCCATTTTTCTCTCCACAGGCACCACCACGATTCCAAACGTCGACGGTCCGACGACTTCAGGCCTCAGAACTACCACCAGCAGGATTTCCGGCGGATGTCTGACCACAGGCCACCCATGGGCTACCATGGCCAAGGACCTTCGGACCACTACCGGTCCTTCCACACAGACAAACTGGGGGATTACAAACAGCCCCTCCCTCCATCCCACCCTGCCGTGTCGGACCCTCGCTCGCCCCCCTCTCAGAAATCCCCCCACGATTCCAAGTCACCTCTTGATCACAGGTCACCTCTGGATAGGTCATTGGAACAGAAAAACAATCCAGATTATAACTGGAACATTCGGAAAGCGTAAGGCGACTGAGAGGGCGAAGTGCGCGTCTGGAACCCTGGGGTTGGTGCGACGGTGGCTGCTTTCTCCAGGCCAGCAACGAGAAACTCTGAACATGCTGCTATCATCTGGCTGGGTCAAGGAGGATTTTGGGGGAGTGGGTGGAGGAAGATTTTCCCTAGTTCTTGATTCTGGTTTAGATTCCCATTTCCTTTCCCCTTTTTTACCATTGAACTGTTCTGTCATGGAACCAGCCTTGCTGCCTCGTTTGTTGTTTTGATTTTGTTTTCCTCAGTCCAATGGACCCAAGGGAGTTTTCCCCAGCCGGTGTTTCCTCAGAAGGAGAAGGCAGATTGATGCTGCTTAGGATGGTGCAGAAGGCTGTGTGCCTGCTCTGACTTGATGTTACGTGACAGATGCTGCTTTGGGGTTGGGGATAAACTGGTTGGGCTGGGATTTGTGTGTCACCAGCATGGGGCAATGGGAGGATATGTTCAAGGAGGGACAGGAAAGTCCCTCAGCAGCCAAACTTGGTTGAAAGAGGGACTTGATGTCCCTGCAGAATGACTCCAAAGGAGCTGGAGCCATGCTGGTGACAATGCATCACTTTTCTGGCCATGTTATCATTTTCATGTCTTTATCCATTTCAAGAAACTGGCTCTGCTTTGATTGCTGTTGTGTCCCCTGCAACAGAAGAGGTGGGGGGATCTTCCTCCCATCTCCAGAGCTGGAACTGGCAAATCTTGACTCTGGGGGTAAGTGGGAGCTGGGAAAAAAAGGGCCAACATCCTTAGCAAAGGCTGAGTTCACTTCTAACCACCAGGAAAGAAATTGGGGTGAGAACAGTATTTCCCAGTGTACAGGGCTCAGGAATTCATAACAAAACTCTTCTCGTCTGGCTTGGGTGGTCCAGGAACTAACAGATGGTAGCTAGGAGGTGCAAGATCAAAAGATGGCTCTGGGGATACTGGAACTCCTAATCTTCCTGCCACTAAAGAATCTGGTCTTCGGGCAAATCACTTCTCTCTTTGCTTCACAAAGCAGTGATCACAAACCTTTACTGTAACTGAAGGATAGGGGATGGTAGAACGAAGTGAAGTAGGAATCCAGTGGAGTGATCACTGTTCAGGGAATGGTCACCTTCCTGCCACCTTTCCAGCAGTCAGCAGTGACTCTGAATTGCTAAAAGTACCTGCACTTAGAGACCTTTGGTTTGTCTAAATTGGAAATGAACCTGAGGACTTAGCACCTCAGTGAGCAGGGACAGAATGAGGAATTCAGGACTGATCTGTAAAGATCCTTGGAGCAAATGTCTTAAAGCCCAGCATGGCAGAGGGAAAAGAGGAATGTGCAGCCCAGCTCAGTGGACTTCAGGGCAAACACTCCAAGTATTCAAACCACAGTATTTGATGCAAACCAGTGTCCAGCCTGGACACTTGGCGTGGTGAGAGGGGTTGGTTGTGCACATCCTGCTGGCCAGAAGCACCTTGGGTGATTATTTTTCAGGTTGGAGCTCCCTGGAGACCACAAAGGCTGCCCCGAGCGTGGTGTCTGGGGCTGCATCACCACCCTGAGCTCAGTATTAAAGACCGGGCAGTTCCAGCCTCCTGTTTGGCAGGGCACAGAAGCTGGGCCTCTTATTAAGATGCCAGTATTTGACTCTAATAAGCTGTGATGTCCCTTCCCCATAAGACTGAGGGCAGATGGGTGTTCAGGGCTGGCTTCCTGACTCCAGCCAGTGCCTTGGAAGGCACGTGCAAACTGACACTAATATTCCTCCATGCAGTATATCCCTGGAAATCTGCTGCCATCACTCCTCCCCATCCCGCTGCTCTAAGGGGACACACGGGAAGTGTTTTGTTCCCCTTTTGCTTTTACGTTGCAAGATTTCCACCGAATTCAGGGCAGTTTTGTTTCCTGTGGGGCACTTGCTGCCCTGATCAAGTGTTAAACTCGTGTTTACCTGTGCAGGGTGAGGTGAAGGCAAGTCTTCCACAGTCCCCCTCGGAGGGGTGGGAGGTGTGGAGAGAGCACGTTTCCGTGGTGTTTCCCACTAAGCTGTGATTGCAGGCTGTGGTATTCAACAAAGAGGTCCTTTCTTTTCAGAGGTATTAGCTTTTAATGTGAAAATGGAGACAGCCTCAGAAGGGCAAAGAGAATTGCTGTTTTTGTCACGGTGCTGTCACGGTGGGAAGTTTGTGCCATACTCGTGTAGCAAAGGCAATACTGGCAACCAGTGTGAGGGCTGGTGCAGGAAAACTTTGGATCCCAGCAGGAGGCATTTTCTCTGTCGAGGTGTGGGGGTTTCTGCTTATCCCAGGTTCCAGGCACGAGGTTGGTTGGGATTTCCTTCTTGTGCAACAGCAAAGGCTTTACCCATATCCACTGGAGAGCTGTCCCCATTGTCACTTTAGCCTGACGTTGAAGTCACATCACGTCCACTCATGATGGGTGAGTCTTTGCTGGGTTTGGCTTTAGTGAAGCTGGAGAAGGAGATTTGGGAGAAAGTCTTCCCTGAGCACACACACACACACACACACACACACTTCTGCATTTTATGTCCCCTCAGCATAGGGACCACAACCCAACACAGTCACGGGGACGTGAGTGGGATCAGAGGGGACACATCCACAGCCATAAACTTCCACAAAACTGTGGTGTTTGTGTCAGCACTGGTACAGCTCTTCCTTCCTAACCAGCTGTGGGATTCCCTCCAGACTCTTGGCAGAAAAAAGCAGTAACTTGCTGGGGTTCAATTAAAAAAAAAAAAAAAAATTCAGCCTGACCTCTTTGGAAATGGTAAAGTTGTGAGTTCACATGGTGGAAATCCTGCAGACCAAAACTTGCTGTGGGGACAGGTGATGTGGTCCCAACCAAAATGGACACAGAACTGAGTGCTGAAGTCCTTGTGTGAATGGTTTGTGATCCACACAAAAATATTTTTCTGCTTTCACCCGTTTCCTCCCCACCTCTGCCTCCCCTCTGGGGAGAGAAGGACTCTTACTGTAAATTTACGGACTTTTAAACCTGTTGACTAAAAACAGTAATTAATATTAATTTATATTTGTGAAAGAAATGCCACTGTCCTAGTGATTTCTGATGTAAATATGTTGTTTATATAGTATGTATGAAATTTTCCTACATTGTAAAACTGCTGTACTTTTGATTCTTGTATATTAAAAAGTGTTACTGAGATTTTCAGAAGGGCCCCAGTGTGGTGTCTCTGGGGGTCCCGTGGCAGGTCTGGGGGCTGGTTTGGGATGACAGGGCCCTTTCCTGCCAGCCACAGGCAAGCCACCATGGATATTTTCACTGTGCAGGAATAACTATGTTCTGATGGCTGTTTTTACATAGTTTCACAGTCTGTGGGGATAGAGACTTGGAAGCTTCTTCAGATAGGAATTTCCACCTGATCAGAAGGAGCTGTACATTCTCTAACCCAGATCCACCAGGATTTCAGTGGGATGATACTGATGATTATGTGTTTATGAGGATGTGTAAATTTCTTTTTTACCTTTTCTGGGGAGAATTCCCCTTTGTCTAGGAGAAGTATTGCTCCTGCTGCATTGGTGAGTTCTCCTCTCTGTCCCCAGCCCCTCCTGGGCAGGATGTGCCTCTCCCAGGTGGGATGTGATGGCATCCAGTGGCTGCTTTGGTTTGGTCTTTACCCTCCACTGCTCACACAGGGGCCCACACAGAGCAGGGATTGGAGCCATTCCTCCCAAGTTATAAAAGCTCATTGTAAAAAGCACTTTTCACACCTGTAGCCACTGGGTCCAGCCCTTCCCAGTCTCTGCTGCTGAGCCAACTTTCAGCCAAGAGTGAAATTTCACAGCTGAGTTATATGCTCCTGAAAAATGGATTTCCTAATGGAAAGAGTGACTGGCTGTCAGCCATGGGGCTCAGCTGCAGGGAGGCACAGGGGCTGCAGGAGCTGGGCTGGCTGTTACGTGCCTGGGTGAATCTACCTGAGGCCAGTGACTTTTAAATGTTTTTGATTTAAGCAGGCAGGTAAGGATGTGAGCACTCTGATGCCAGGTGTCTCCCCCAGCCCTGCCTTGCACCCACCCCAGTGAGGGGACAGGGCTGTGCTTTACACTGGGGCAGACCCTCTAGAGGGAGCCGGTTCCCAGCAAAAAGCCCGTTTTTGGTGAAAAACATCACTCTGCAGTGGTGGCTGCTCCCGGACAGCTGGTCCTGGCTCACCCCAAACACTCAGAGCCCAAGACAGTGCCAAAGGCCAGGGGATGGGCAGGCAGAGCAGAAGTGGGGCTGGAAACCCACCCCAGGCCCCAGGTGGTGGCACTTGAGCTGCTGCCCATCAGAGTGATGGGATGGGACCCTGGATCCCCCAGGGGCTGCCCCCTCACCAGCCCTGAACATGGTCTGGAGAGCAGTTTGAACCTCTCCAGAGGTTTGAACCTCTCCCAGGTGCCACGAGGCCACCACTGCCACCACCACTGTCCCTTCACAGCCTGTGCCCTCCCCACTCACCTCCTGGGGATGCTCTGCTGCCTTGTGCCTTGTGGTTAATGGGGATGAGGCATCCCTGTGCCTCGGGGGTCACATCAGCACTTTGTCCCACTGGAACATGCAGGGGCTCCCTGCTCACTGTCCCAGGCTGGACAGCAGGGGACCATTGGTGACCTCCTGGCAGAACAGTCAGTGAGGGAGACCCCCAGCCCCTGCACTCTGGGCACTTGGCAGATGAATTTTCAGATTTAGCCATTTCTCTCATGCAAGGAATGGCAGAGGAAGTGGATTTGGCTCTTCCCAAACGCTGCCAGTTCTCTGGGCTTTGAAGGAGGGGAAGGCCAGAAGTCAATCACATCTCTGGGGCTGGGCATCGCTGCACGGATCCACCCAAATCATGTGTTTTGAGCTGGTGTGGGTGTCCCACCTGCCCTCAGCATCTCCCTGTCTCCAGCCGCTGTGACAATGAGTCCCTTCAGATTTCAAAAACTGAAAATTTAACAGGAAAAAAATGCAATTTTCTTTTTCCTCATTAGAGGGCAGCAACAAAC